TCTTTCCATTTTACGATTCAAGTAGGATATCACTGGAAACCAGGTAACTTACAGGAGTCAGCTTTTAGACATCCCTTTGACCTTTAGCCTTTACAGTCAAACAAATCTCTTTCTCGTATGTTCTTTTCTCTTGAACAACTCTATGAAGAAAGCAGGGAAGGTACATTTTCTGTCATTTCACCAGTCCACAGAGGAAATCACATCAACTCAGAGAGGATATGAATTGATCAAGGTCGCTCCACTAGTACATTTTAAGAAACAAGACTGGTGTCCTTATAACCCATGAGGTTAAGGTAAAGAGGATGAGGCAAGAGGGTACTAATGAGGACAGAGGAAGTTAGGACCTTTCTCCTAGAAGCTGGGAAATGGGAGAACCAATAAATAGGTAGTTCTCTAAGCAAGACTCATGACAACTTGAAAGATAAAAAAAAAGATAAGAAAATATCTTCAGTTGCAAAAAGAATTCTAAAAATCCATTTGAGAGGACCAGCAGGTGCTGTGGTGGTTAAGGCTCTGGACTCTTCCGCATGGCTGACCACAGTTCAAGTCCTGGGTCTAGTGGCCTGCTTCCCACTTTCCTTCCTCTCTCTCTCTTTCTCTCTGTCTCTCTCTGGTCAAGTTAAAATAAATGAATGAATAAATAAAATGGAATAAATCATTCTTTTAAAAAATCCATTTAAAAATGATAGAGCAAGATAACCATCTTCGTTCAAAATGGCTACGTTGTCACTTATTTTTCCATTGGAGGCAGGATTGGTGAGGTGACGCAATCAAATAAAAGTCTTTCTTATTAAAAACAAAAGAAAATTGTGGCCACGAAAGATAAAAGTAGGGGTTTTTCAAAGCCTGGGGGAGGGACACAGCATAACTCAAAAAAACTCACAATTCAAACTTTGTCTTTCTCCCAGGAAACTGATTTGATGATTTATTTAAAATATTGCTGGGAACCAGCAGTTAGCGTAATGGCTATGTCACTGGACTCCCACGTAGTCGACCGCGGTTCGTGTCCCAGACCCGGTGGCTTAAAACTCATGCCGGGCGCGTGTGCGTGCGTGCCCAAGATCCCGAGAGGAGAATGGAGGAGAAGGGATTGCGGCGTGACCATCCCCCCTGGGGGGTGATTTCTCGCTTTCTGTCTCTATGTCTCTCTCTGTCTGTCTGGCGAGCACACGCGCCCTACCGTGAAAATCTCTCCAAAAAAGAAAAAATATATTGCTAAAGTAAATAATTACAGAATGAATCTCCTTTTGAAACATATCTAGATGCCAAAAAGTTATGATAGTAGCTATTACTAAACTATTGTTTATCGTGTGACTACTATCTGCTAGACATTAGGCTTTACCTATGTTATCTCTAATTCTCAGGATACTACTGGCAGGAAGTTGTTATCTTCCCTATTTCACTTATAAGGAAATAGACCCACAGGGCTTGACCCTTTCCAAGGTCACACAGCTAGTATGTGGTTAAGCTGGTCTGTCTGATTCCATGCCTTGTGCTCTTTCTATTTAGTTTCTTTATCATTAAATAAACAAACACTGAAACTGCTATATACCATGGATTTAACTAATCTTTCCCTTTAATTGTAAACACTAAAAATGTTACTAGGTCATCAGAAAAGTCATGACACTTTTTTTCGTTAGAAAACCAGAAAAGTACATCATGGCTTTTCCAACACCCCATATTTTAAGAAAATAGAGAGGGACCAGCAGGTGGCATGGTGGTTAAGGGCACTGGACTCACACATGGGTGACCATGGTTTGAGTCCTGGACCTGGCAGCTTGCTTTCTCGTTTCCCTCTCTCTCTCATTCTGTCCCTCTGTGGTCAAATTAAAATAAATAAATAAATAAATAAAGTTAAATAAAATAAAATCACTATTTAAAAAACTTTTTAAAAAAGAAAATAGGGGAACCAGCAGTTAGCGTAATGGCTATGTCGCTGGACTCCCACGTAGTCAACCGCGGTTCGTGTCCCGGACCCGGTGGCTTAAAACTCACGCCGGGCGTGTGTGCGTGCGTGCCCAAGATCCCGAGAGGAGAATGGAGGAGAAGGGATTGTGGCGTGACCATCCCCCCTGGGGGGTGATTTCTCGCTTTCTGTCTCTATGTCTCTCTCTGTCTGTCTGGCGAGCGCATGCGCCCTACAGTGAAAATCTCTCCAAAAAAAAAAAAATAGAGAATGTGGTACTGTGTCTAAACTGTAGAGAATCTAAATTCCGCTTGCATATCTTGTCAAACTTTTTCTTTTCCCATTCAGTTTTCTTTTTATTAAGGGGAGAAACTTTAAGCAGGGGCATCTATAGGAAAGCAGCGTCAGAGGAAGGCACTGTCAGTAGGAGCTGAGACGAGCTCCGCTGGCACCGGTTTGAAGGCTAACAGAGTATGAAAGTGTCTTCACAACCTTCTAAAATAGCCTTCAGACATTTGAGGAGCACAGAACCTTGGGAAGCAGAAAATTAAGTTCTCTCTGGAGCAGATCAGCTAGGGCAACACCGCACTCTGGGCCTTCTGCATTACTAATACACTTCTATTTCATCACCCAAGCTCAGTTACTATTTTTTAATGATAGCAGGTGCGGGAGAGAGAAGCACTTTCGATAGGGTCTTCCCATACCGTGATCCCTTTTCCCCAGCCCAAGCTGGTCAGGATCTTGGGCACCCATGCATGACCTGCTGTGCTTTCAGGCTAACCTTGGGATCTGCAACGGTGGCTTCCAGCACTGCAGTCCAATATGCCAACTAGGCTGGCCCAGCTTCTATTATGGATTAAAATCTCTAGGCCTGTGGCCTGAGAATCTGTAGTTAGCAGGGCCCCTCCAGTGACTTTTAAGCCCTTTGATGTTTAGGTTTCTAGTTCTAATAATTCCATTGTTTTCATTTCAATAGGTAAAATCAGGCAGCATCTTTGACAATTTCCTCCTTACGAATGATGAAGAGTTTGCTGAAGAGGTTGGAAATAAGACCTGGGGAAGGAGAAAAGTAAGGTTCTCCCACCCTATATTCCAGATGTTTGACCCCTTACTTGTGCACTGTTCTTTGCTTTATTTTTTTTTTTAGAATTATTTTATTTAACTTAATTTATTTTAATTTACTTTATTTATTAGTATTTTTTAAAAATTTGACCAGAGGGACCAGCAGTTGGCGTAATGGCTATGACACTGGACTCCCATGTAGTTGACTGCGGTTCTAGTCCTGGACCCGGTGGCTTAAATTCATGCCAGGTGCTTCTGCATGCATACCCAAGATCCCAAGAGGAGAATGGAGAAGGGATTGCAGTGCAGTCCTCCCCCCAGGGTGATTTCTCGCTTTCTGTCTCTCTGTCTCTCTCTGTCTTTCTGGGGAGCACACGCGCCCTACAGCAAAAACCTCTCAAAAAAATTTTTTTTTTTGACCAGAGAGAGGGAAAGTAAGAAACCAAGCCACCAGGTCCAGGACCCAAACCATGGTCAACCATGTGAGAGTTCAGGGCCTTTAACCACTATGCCACCTGCCAGCCCCTGTCCTTTGCATTTTAAAAAGCAGCTTCATAGTCATTGTCTAATTTCTGATCACATGACCCTGAGAGGCTGGGGCAAGAATTCACATTCATTGGATATCTACAACTTGGTATTTGACTCAGTGAGCACTTTTCAAGAACTAATCTCACTTATCCCTTAAAACAACCCAGCAAGAGCGAGATTATTACTCTGATAGTTTAGAGGTCAGAACTGAGATTCAGAGTATAAACTGCCCAAGGTCAAAAACAGATCCGAACCTGAGCTGGTGCTCCTTCTGTGTATCACATGGCCTGCTCGCAGTACAGTGGTCCAGAAGGGAGCTGTGAGTCCACTTCTCAGGGAGGAAGAAGGAAGGTTACGGTGCTGTTTACCATCTACCCTGCCCTCTCAGAAGTATCTTCTGGGTGGAGCAATACTTGGGACAATGGCTTCAGGAGGGTGACATTCAAATCTCCTGGTTCTGCAAGAAGGGCCATTCAAGCAGGTTTGTGGCTAGTACCTGATTATCCCACAGGCAAATTAAGCGTATGCTTAGGGTAGTAGCAAAGCACGGGCACCAAAACCAGTTTGTTAAGTGTGTAGAACTTTGGTATCTCCATAAACTCATTGAAGTAGTCGTTATGGCGAAAAATTAGAGTTTCGAAATACTTTTTAGTCTTATTTTGTCCTGTTTTTCTTTGAGGTTATCACCTAATACTGCTTTGTTGCAGCACTATCACAAATTGATCAGGAGTATGAGTTTGGGAGCTAGACTGCTCAGGTTCCCATACAGGCTTCTTTATTCACTAGATGTATGAGCTCCGGCAAGTTATTAACCTTTTTTCATCAACAGGGAGGGGATAACGATAGCAAACTCTCTTACAGGCTCCTGGCATATAGTAAGTGCTCACTACATGGTAGCTGTCATTGTTAAGCCAGTCAGTTGACAAGTATTTGGTGAGTGCCTGTTCAACACACTATTCTAGTTTCTGGGGATGTAGCTGTGAAATAAAACAGACAGGTTTCTTTCTTTCTTTTTTAAAGAATTATTTTATTTAACTTTATCTACTTATTTATTTTAATTTGACCAAAGAGGGACAGAGTGAGAAAGAGAAAGAAAGTGATAAGGCAAGCCATCAGGTCCGAGACCCGAACCACAGTCGGCCATGTGGGAGTCCAGCACCTCTAGTCACCATGCCACCTGCCGGTCCCAAAATAGACAAGTTTCTGCCCTTATGGAATTTCAGTTTGGGGAGAACAACAAGAAACATATGAAGAAGTCCGAACCACGGGTCCCTTACCCAGGAAGTAGGGCTAGGAACACCTACGTCATACGTTGCTATGAGGAATACAAAGAGTGTAAAAAAAAAAAGAGTATATATAGATTATCTGACACCATGTTTAGCAATGTACTAGGTGTTCATCAAATGTTCTTTGAATATGAACCAATTTCATTTACAAACAAATCACACACATACACATACATACACACGTCCCTCCACCCCATACATACTGAAAATTTGTGTGTAAATGAGCACCATCCTAGAAATCTTTAGAAACCCACAGAGATGACAGACTTTTTTTTTTTTTTTGGAAGTTTTTGCCTTACGGCATGTGTGCTCATGGGAGAGAAAGAGAAACAGAGACAGTGAGAGGGAAAATGAGAAATTACCCCACAGGGAGGATGGCCATGCCACAATCCCTTCTTCTCCATTCTCCTCCTGGGATCTTGGACACGCACCCACACATGCCCTGTGTTAAGTTTCAAGCACTAGGTCTGGGATTCAAACGGCAGTCGCCCACGTGGAAGTCTAGTGATGTAACCACTAAGTCATCTGCTGGCCCCAAGATGCTAGACACTTTAAAAAGGGTGAATTTCCTTTATACCTACAAATTATTTTGAAATGTTGTATTCTAAATAGGACATAGAGAAGCATTGGAGAGAACTTTTTGAAGAAATGGAAAAAAGAAAAGAGGAAGCAGAAGCTGAGAAGAAAAGAGAAAAGGAGGAGGCAAGAGAAGATGATTTCTGGGGGATTGAAGAAGAGGAAACTGAAGAGGATTCTGATGAGGAACCAGAAAATGATGGGCAGATGCAGGACGATGATGCTGAAAGTGTACCTGTACGTGAAAATGAAAAAGTTGCTGTTGACCAGAAAGATGAACTGTAGCTAGGAAAAAGAGGATTACACTCAGAGACAAATGGTGTTTCTTCGGAGAAATATCCATGAGGATGGCAAAATTCAGGGTGCAAAATAACTTGCTTTTTTTTTTTTAGAGAGATTTTTTTTACTCTACAGCACATGTCCTCGTCAGAGAGACAGAAAGCGAGAAATCACTTCCCAGGGGGAATGGCCATGCCACAATCCCTTCTCCTACACGCTCTTCTCGGGATCTTGGGCACACACATACATGCATCTGGCATGAGTTTTGAGTCACCTGATCTGGGACTTGAACCATTATTGGCCCTGTGGGAGTCCAGTGATGTAACCATTATACCATCTGCTGGTCCCAACTTGCTCTTTTTGAATAAACTTTAGATTTGTATATCTAACCCACTTCCTTTGCCCTTTAGGACCTGGGGAAAATCTTATCACCTCTTGGGATTACTACGTCTTTATTAGTGTAAAGGAAATGGTAATTTCTTTTTTTTTAATATTTTATTTAACTTTATTTATTTATTCATTTATTTATTTCAATTTGACCAGAGAGGGATAGAGAGAGAGAGCGAGCTGCCAGGTCCAGGACTCGAACCGTAGTCAGCCACATGGGAGTCTAGCACCCTTAACCACCAAGCCACCTGCCAGCCCCAGGAAATGGTAATTTCTAATTCATGAGGTTTTTGCAGGGATTGAGTGAGCTAATGTGTATAAAGTGCCTGATTAAAAAGGAAAAAAAAAAAAACAAAAAAACAGCAAAGGGGCCAGCGGGCGACATGGTGGCTAGGCTAAGGCATTGGATCCCACATGGCTGATTCTGTGGTTCAAGTCTTGGACTTGGAGGCTTGAAAAACACACCAGGCACATGTGCATGCATCCCCAAACTCCTGAGAAGAGACTGGAGGAGAAGAGACAGCAGAGTAGCTGTCCCTGGGGGATAATTTCTCCCTCTCCCTCTCTCACTGTCTTTCTGTTTCTCTCTGGCAAATGCATGTGTGTTGTAGCAAAAAATTTAAATAAATAAATAAATAGTAGCTATAACTTCTATTATTATATTGAAATTAGGAAGTTAATTTTTGGTAAACGAGTTTCTGTATAAACTTGATCCTCACCTTTCATTTATTTCAGTACACATGGGGAATTTTATTTTATTTAAATATCTGTATTACCTAGAATTTACCGAGCAGCGCTGATGGTGGTACCTGTCCCACGACGTTTTCCTCTGGCTGATGTATCAAGTACTTAAAAACAAAATAAGACTTCCTCCTCCTAACATTAGGAAAAATACTCTGTGAAAGACCTGCTTCTGTGCTGTTTTGTACCCTACCTAATTTTTAAATAATTGTTACTTGTTTGCAAGTTTGCTGATCTTGACATTTATCTTTTCTGTACCACTTGCTTACCACATCATTATCGTGTGCCTTCCTGTAACTCTTGACAGATTAGAAAGCACTTTCTCATAAATTGATGGCGCTTCTGCAGTGTGTTCATTTAATCCTCATAGCAGCCATTGTAGAGGTTGCTATTATTATCTTCATTTTACAGATGGAGAAACTGCCCGAGGTGGGTAAGTCACTCATTCTGGATCAAACTGCTAGCAAGGGGCAGGGCCAGTATCTGAACTCTGGTTCATCTTCTTTCAAAGCTTATCCTTTCAGTGCACCAGACCGTTGAACGAGTGAGTCAATATCTATTACTGTTTCATACACAGGATAGACATCCTCATGGAAGAAATACCCTTTTAAGTGTCATTTTTTTATGGATTTAGTTTTAAAATATTTTTTTAGAATTATTTTATTCAACTTTATTCATTATTATTTTTTAATTTGACCAGAGAAAGAGAGAGAAAGTGAGAGAGCAAGCTGCCAGGTCCGGGATTTGAACCTCAGTCAGCTGTATGGGAATCCAGTGCCCTTAATCATCACACCACCTGCCGGCCCCAGTGTCATTTTTAAAAAATGTTAATTTCATCCAAACAGCTAAGGAATTAGTTCCAAACATACCTGTCCAACAGTTTAGTAAATGATAGCCTAGGGTTACAAATATGCATTTGATTTCAGGTAAGACTTTATGAAGAAAGTGATTTTTTTTAAGAATATTTATTGTTTTTCTTTCATAAGCAAGAGAGACAAACAGATGCCCCAACAGGGTCTTAGTGACATAGTCCACTCCCAGCTCCAGCCATCCCCAGATGATGAGCACAAGAGCACCCTCCATGTCCTGGGAAGTTTCCATACGCAAAACCAGAACCTTCTGTGAGCCAGTCTCAGAGGTCTGTGTTACTGCCATGCCATCATCCAGCCTACAAAGTGACATTTTAGCCAGATCTTTTAAAAAATTTTTTTTGAGATTTTTGCCTTAGGGTGCATGCACTCACTGGAGAGGTAGAGAGAGACAAAGATAGAAAGTGAAGAATTATCCTCCAGGGTGGGATAGCCATGCCTCAATTCCTTCTTTTTCGGTTTCCTCTCAGGATTTTGGGCTCACATGCACACACACCTGGTGTGAGTTTTAAGCTGCTGGGACCATGAATCAAACCATAGTCGACTGTGTGCGAGGCCAGCACTGTAACCATTACACCATCTGCTGGTCCCAAGAGCTTAAAATATGGACACATCTGTCTGATGGAGAAGCAGGTGTATGGACCAGATTTCAGAGTCAAAGAGGAAGGTGCTCAGATGGCAGGACGTGGGATGCTGAAGTCATGAACTTCTTCCTTCCTTCCTGTAGGCTGATGCCTGGTGTGGTTTCTGGACCTTAGAGTCTTTGGAATATTCTTGACGTTTTCCTCTGGCTGATGTATCAAGTACTTAAAAACAAAATAAGACTTCCTCCTCCTAACATTAGGAAAAATACTCTGTGAAAGACCTGCTTCTGTGCTGTTTTGTACCCTACCTAATTTTTAAATAATTGTTACTTGTTTGCAAGTTTGCTGATCTTGACATTTATCTTTTCTGTACCACTTGCTTACCACATCATTATCGTGTGCCTTCCTGTAACTCTTGACAGATTAGAAAGCACTTTCTCATAAATTGATGGCGCTTCTGCAGTGTGTTCATTTAATCCTCATAGCAGCCATTGTAGAGGTTGCTATTATTATCTTCATTTTACAGATGGAGAAACTGCCCGAGGTGGGTAAGTCACTCATTCTGGATCAAACTGCTAGCAAGGGGCAGGGCCAGTATCTGAACTCTGGTTCATCTTCTTTCAAAGCTTATCCTTTCAGTGCACCAGACCGTTGAACGAGTGAGTCAATATCTATTACTGTTTCATACACAGGATAGACATCCTCATGGAAGAAATACCCTTTTAAGTGTCATTTTTTTATGGATTTAGTTTTAAAATATTTTTTTAGAATTATTTTATTCAACTTTATTCATTATTATTTTTTAATTTGACCAGAGAAAGAGAGAGAAAGTGAGAGAGCAAGCTGCCAGGTCCGGGATTTGAACCTCAGTCAGCTGTATGGGAATCCAGTGCCCTTAATCATCACACCACCTGCCGGCCCCAGTGTCATTTTTAAAAAATGTTAATTTCATCCAAACAGCTAAGGAATTAGTTCCAAACATACCTGTCCAACAGTTTAGTAAATGATAGCCTAGGGTTACAAATATGCATTTGATTTCAGGTAAGACTTTATGAAGAAAGTGATTTTTTTTAAGAATATTTATTGTTTTTCTTTCATAAGCAAGAGAGACAAACAGATGCCCCAACAGGGTCTTAGTGACATAGTCCACTCCCAGCTCCAGCCATCCCCAGATGATGAGCACAAGAGCACCCTCCATGTCCTGGGAAGTTTCCATACGCAAAACCAGAACCTTCTGTGAGCCAGTCTCAGAGGTCTGTGTTACTGCCATGCCATCATCCAGCCTACAAAGTGACATTTTAGCCAGATCTTTTAAAAAATTTTTTTTGAGATTTTTGCCTTAGGGTGCATGCACTCACTGGAGAGGTAGAGAGAGACAAAGATAGAAAGTGAAGAATTATCCTCCAGGGTGGGATAGCCATGCCTCAATTCCTTCTTTTTCGGTTTCCTCTCAGGATTTTGGGCTCACATGCACACACACCTGGTGTGAGTTTTAAGCTGCTGGGACCATGAATCAAACCATAGTCGACTGTGTGCGAGGCCAGCACTGTAACCATTACACCATCTGCTGGTCCCAAGAGCTTAAAATATGGACACATCTGTCTGATGGAGAAGCAGGTGTATGGACCAGATTTCAGAGTCAAAGAGGAAGGTGCTCAGATGGCAGGACGTGGGATGCTGAAGTCATGAACTTCTTCCTTCCTTCCTGTAGGCTGATGCCTGGTGTGGTTTCTGGACCTTAGAGTCTTTGGAATATTCTTGTTTAGAAAACTTGACTTTCCACCTATTTCGATAGCATAAGATTCTTCCCATGGTGCAAAAGAGCAAGGCTTCAGGTGCTGAGTCTGAGCGTTTTGTGTTAGGGTTGGAGGGCTGGTGCATGTGGTGACCTATATTTTAAGGATGCCAGTCTAATGTGAGCGTTGCTTATTACAATTGTCAGCGCTGATGGGTCAGTGTATGCTCTACCATTTGTTACATATTTTTAGTATCACAGGATAAAGAAGCTAATTTTCATGCAGGATTATGGGAGAAAAGTAAGCAATAGGATTCATTTAAGTATTTTTTTTAAAGCTGCTGCTTTCACATTTGGGAAATTTTCTTTTATTATGATTGATTAAGCAAACTATTTCAAAAATTGTGGTACTTTTTTTTGGAGAGGTTTTTTGCTATAGGGTGTGTGTGCTCTCTAGAAAGAGAGAGACAGAGAGACAAAAAGTGAGAAATCACCCCCCAGGGGGGATGGCCACGCTGCAATCCCTTCTCCATTCTCCTCTCGGGATCTTGGTCATGCACGCACACACACCCGGCGTGAGTTTAAGCCACCGGGTCCAGGACTCGAACTGTACTTGACTACATTGGGAGTCCAGTGACATAGCCACTATGACAACTGCTGGTCCCCAAAATTGTGGTACTTTTAACAAGAAAAAAAATACATGCATAGTTTCACTCATTCTACATACAGATTTTGAAAATGTTTGTTTCCTTCAAGGACTTTTTTTAAAAAAATATTTTAATTTAATTTTATTTATTAATTCATTTATTTTAATTTG